CTGCCCTAGTAGAAAATCATTGTCTCCAAACCTCCATTCACCTGTCTAGACCCCTCATAGGGAAGAGCCTGCAGAAGCTCCCCAAAGCTTCACTACAGTGTGTGTCCAGCCACCAAATACCATTTTGCCACCTGAATATGACAGGGCCACTAAGGGAGAGCAGGGGTAGGGAGGAAAAAGAGGCCCATCTTTGGCCTGTTGCTCGATGCTCTTGTTCCCTACAAGGCAGATGGAGGTCTCCAGTCATCACCCCAGCAGGCCCCCAACAAAGACCACCACGGCTTCTTCCTCAGTGACAACCAGTCAGGTGAGCAGAGCCAGCCCCTGCCATCTTCCTGCCCCTTCTTGATTTTCTCATCCTGCATTCCCTGGGGAGAGATGACCCTGCGACACTCAAAGGATAAGAGAGGACTTCCTCCATGTGCTTCTCTCTTCTCCCCACTTTCCCAGCCCTAAAAACCTGTTGCCTCAGGGTCAGAGAACCAGGGCTCACTGTTTGCTAGGGGCCCTTCTCAGGGGTAGGTATTAGTCAGGCCCCTCGGATTCCACACCAAGGCACTAGGGAACCCCTTGGGCTGCAGGTCTCTGAGCAATGAGACCAGAACTAGAAACATCTATTCTAACAGCTCCTCCACCACCCAAAGCTGGGTCTTCAGCTCCCTTCCAGGGCTACAGCCTCCTGTGTCCTGGAATCCAGACTTCCACAGTAGGAAGACCTCATACTCCAGGTCACCCAGGTAAGGAGAAATACTCCCCACGCTATCCCATGGCAGGTAAAAGGACAGCACCAACTCTACAGAGAAGGGACAGGCCTAGAGACCCAGATGTGTGGAGAAGTGTCTCTTTCCTACCTGCAGGTGAAGCACCATCCCTGAGCATCTCAGATGCATCTGGCCTCTGGCCTGAGTTGCTTCACCAAATGCCTCCAAGGCACAGGCCGCCAAACCCACAGCAGGGGCCAGACTGCTGGCCTCAGGAGCTAGGCTCCAGGCTACAGCTGCTCCAGGCCCAGATGGACAGGTGAGTGTTCCCTCTGGCAAGGCTCAAGAGACTGCCTTAGGCTAGGCATAGCCGCCGCCTACTGGGTACTCAGGGAATTACTGCATGTGTTGTGAATTTTAGAATAATGCCCATTTAAAGGCAAATTTATCCATCCCAGTCACTAAACAAATATTTAGATGGTTTCGCCCATCAAATCCTGGAATACCAAGGAAGATTCATGGGGAAAAGGCACATTTATGTGCAGAATAAATCCCACGGAGCCTGGTAAAGGGCTGGGATCAGAGCTGTTGTGGCAGAAACAGCTTAGGAACAACATAGTCCTGAGTTCAAATTATGACTCTGTAACTCACAGCAAGAGTGTGGAAAAGTTACTCAACAGCTCTGAGCCTGTTTGCCCTTTTGTGTAAAATTAGAATTATCATGTCAAAGCACCATTAGGACTGAATGTTGTGGGCCCCATGCCTGGACACACTGGCAACATGAATTTGGCTGGAGATTGTGGCTCCCAGTGGAGAAATAGCTTCAGTTAGGTTCAGGCTGCTACTGCACCAGATGGAGCATGGACACTACACAGTTGAGAGCTGCCCTCAGGGCCTGAACTGCTCTTAGAAAACTGACCCTGACTGCAAAGGGTATATCTGGCAGGCTGGAGTCCCGCATGGCATCAGATCTCAGCCACATCCTACAGCTGCTTCAACAGTCCGTGCCACAGAGCCACACCAGCTACATCTTGGGGGGACCTGCCTCCAATGACTTGCCCTTGTTTCCTGCGGCCTCAGCAACTCAGAGTCCAGGGCCCAGGCTGCTCCTAGGTCCTCTGCCCCCTGCACAGGTAAGAATTGAGGGGAGTATTCAGGTTCTTCCCTCTCCACCCCAACTTGTTCAGAATGTAGCATCAGGCCTAGAACTTGTGTGACTTCTGTGGTCCTCTTTTACGATTTCAGTTATCACAACAGGATTATTGGGTCAAGGTGGTAGCAGATCCTTGGTGGTGATAACAAGCTACACAACTGGGGCAAGGATCCAGAGGTGTAGGAGGAGCTCTGTCCTTTAGGTCAGAGTAGATTAACTCCCATTCTGGCCTGGAAGTGCCCTACACAGCATACTTCAATCTTTCTTCCCCTTCCCAGAATCTACCTTATGGTGACTTAAACAAATGTACACCGAAGCACAAGAACTCCTCTCCGAGGATGCCTCACCTGGCTGTGGCAGTAGACAAAACGCTGATGACATCCTTGGAACAGCAGCAGCCTGAGGAGCTCCTGTCACCCCTGCCCTCACCTGTGTGTCCCCTGGAGGTACAGGGACTTGTCTGTGGCTCTCGCTTTCCCTCTCTCCCTGAACACCTTGGCTCTGTTCCCAAGCAGTTGGAGTTCCAGAGATATGGCTCAGACCCTGGATTCACAAGGAGTTAGGGCCACTGAGTCCCAGGGTAAAAGCCACCACAAGATTTTTTTTTAAAGTGGCTGAGGTAAGAGTTAATGACATGGGAGGAAGTGGCTAGGCTCACAGATGCATCTCTGAAAACCATTCACCTAGAGTAACTACAAATTGGTAACCCAAATTGCTGAGCCCAGGTGACACACAGGACTCTGACCAGACCTCCATGGAGGCTCTGTGTATTTAGCAAGCCCTCCCGAGAGTGGGAGAGCACAGGTGTGGAGATAGCTTAAAAGATGGAGATATTCATGAAGGAATAAAGTTTCTTACCCTCCTTGTGAGTCTTGCACTAGGCTGCATGTGTGATCACCTCCTGGCTCAAAAACAGCCACCACCTCAAGGTCCAGTACTAAGGGAGAGGCGTGGACAGACCTCCTGCCAGGATGCTCCGACTGGCCTGGAGATAAAGGTTCCCTCTGTGGTAGACATGGAGGAGCAGAACTTCAATGCTTAGCCCCTTCCTCCCTGATAGTCTCACGACAATATCTGGGTCCCTTGAAGGCAATGGAATTTCATGAAGCTAATAAAATCTGTACGTTTCATGTTGGGTTTGATGTGTAATTTATCTAAGGGTCATCATGTTCTTGACTATGCTGTGGTATCTTCAAGGAGCCAGATAGGAGCTCACTCTTCACCACATCCATTATGTTGGAGACCTCATGTGGGGCTGTTAGCCAGATGGGGGTGGAGGGAAGCAGATGGATCTGGTGGCCACACAGAATCATGACCACAGTAAACACTTGTATAGCACTCACTGGGCACCAGGCACCGTCTTAATTGCAACACATACACTAATTTCATCTAATGCTCAAAACAACCCTGAAAGGTCAGCATTAATATATTTTATTATGTATATATATTTGTATCATATATATTTATTATATGATATTTTTGTTTTTAAGGGAAAGTCAGGGAAGGGGGTTATTTTTGTAGTTGTAGCTCCTCAGGAAGTGGAGGCAGTTGGATCACAGGCTCAAGCCTGTGTATCTGCCTCAGAATAAAACAATAAAAAGGACTAGGGGTACAGCACAGTGGTGGAGTGCTTGTCTAAGCATGCAGGAGGCCCTGGGTTCAGTGCCCAGTATCCAAAAAATAAGAATAATATCCAACACGATAGGAAAAAACAGAACAGAATTTCAACCCAGATGGTCTGGTTTGAGAGCATGTACAGTTAACCTGCCTGCTGAGAAGAGCTGTTGCTGCTAGAGTAACTCTTGGTCACTGGTGTGTAGTCTTTTCTTCTTAAATGAATGTTAAAAATATATGTCGCCCCTCACTTTGTTGACACCTGAAATATTTCAGTGATAAACAGTTTTGAAGGACGTAATGCCCAATGTGTTGTAAATATTTTACCCTATCTTATATTGCTCTATTTTCATCCAAAGAGAATAGTGATTTTAAGGCAGTGTCTAAGTTGCCTCACATGGCCTTGAACTTGTGATCCTCCTGATTCAGCCTCCCAAGTGGCCTCAGTCACTGTGCCCAGAAACATCATTCATTTGTAATATAACTTTTTAAAATTATTATAAGACAACATTTAGCAATGTTTTTTAAAAACTTATCTTTTATTTAAAAAAAAAAAAAACTTACCTGCACAGAAAACTTGTCCATATAAGTAGGTAGGCCTAAAAAAAGGGTTGTTATGTACAGTATTGTCCCTTATATTCATTGAATTCTTTATGAATTATCTCATATTTATCTTTAAAAATCGTTTTTAAGACATTTTTTTGTAGGTAATACCTAATAATGCAGTACGAACCTTCAACTTCGTTGAAAGCCAGAAATTAAAGAGTAAATTTACAACGATGTTACTTAGATTCAGATCTTTCCCCTAGAATTCAAACTTGCTGCACAGATTTAGGAATTAGCGTTTGCCTCGGGGCCCACTCAGAGAAACAGACTGCCTGGGAACTAACCAAAACTTGACGCCAAGCTAGTCAGGTTGCTGCCCACTGAAAACCAACCCTAGACTTCGGGAACATTTCTAGATCGCGAAAAAAAGCACAAAAAGATCCGACTTGGGCCGGTGGCTACGTCCTGGGATAACCAGCTCTGCCAGTTAAAAGTGCTGTGGGTTAAGAAGATGGCTCTTGTCTGGCATCCGCCAACGCCAGACCTCGAAGCTCTGTGAGACAAAATGCAGGAGATCCTCTATTACGGCGGAATTTAAAGCCACGGCGTGGAGAGGCCACTTAGAATAGCAGAAGAGAAAAGAAAGATGGAAAAAGCTATACTGAGGTTTCACGCTCACAGACTTGGCCTACAACTTGGATGCCCGCGGGTCGCCTACAGGACGCCCGACTCCTGGCTCACCAGCACAGCGCCGTTAATTAACTGACTGACATCTTGAACAGCCAATGACATTTGGGGTTGTCAAAGCTCCAGCCTTTAGGAGTTGGGCGGGGCGAGGAGTTGGAATGACAAACATGCACACCAATAACGAAGAGTTTTCAGAATTATGGTTGCAATAACCAATGAGAAGAAGGAATAGTTTCAAAAGGACTGGTCAGCCAGCCAATGGGTGGTGCTGCTGCTGAGGACGCGTGGCTTCCGTTCTAGAGAGCGGGGCGGCATCCCAAGCGGAAGGTGGTGGTTGTGGGTTCTGAAGCTCGTTTGAAAGTGGGGGTCGGGTGAGGCCGTCGTTGTTTGTCGCGGTGGCCCCCCTTCCGGGGTAGACCGTTCCTGCCCGCCCCTGCCCCGCCTCCCTTCGGACACTTGGGTGTCAGTCCCGGCTCTCCGCCAGCGTCCCTCTTGCCCGCCGCACCTCGCTGTCGCTTCGGACAGCTCTGCGGCCCGGGCAACCACCATGTCGCTGCACGGCAAACGGAAGGAGATCTACAAGTATGAAGCGCCCTGGACCGTCTACGCCATGAACTGGAGCGTGCGGCCTGACAAGCGCTTTCGCCTGGCTCTGGGCAGCTTCGTGGAGGAGTACAACAACAAGGTGGGCCGGGCAGGGGCTCGGAACTCAGCTGGCGGGAAGCAGACCGGGAGTGCCTTCTCTGGCCCGGCGCTCAGACCCGAGAACCCTCCTGCACACCAGAGCGGTTCCTGTGTCTGGCCCTGTGCTGAGGGTTCTGTACTCTTTGTCTCAATTCTGGCAATATTCCTGTGTAGTGTGGAAACTGAGGCACAATAGGTGACTTGCCCCATGGCAACCAGGTATTTCGTGGTGGCAACAGATTTCAAAGCCGAGTTTATCCCAAAGCTATGGCATGTATCCACCCATTCTCACAACTCCTGCCGCCTTGCTTCAGTTGTTGGGGCAGAGGAGGAAAGAGGGAGTGATGGCTATGAAGGAAAAGGACAGACAGATCAATCGGTGGTCGCACACTCCTGGCCACACTAGATTTGTCAGCACTGTTTAGCATGCTCTGCCCTCCTGCTTCCTATTCCAACCCCAGTTACTACCGTGTGTTTCCAGCCTTCCTGCCAGCTTTGGCATAGCTCTTGCTTCTTGACATTCCTGCTTTTCAGGGCTGTCTCTAGTTGGAAGTTGGCCTGCCTGTGATCCTGGCATTGTTCATGAAGAGAAGCATGACACCTGATCTAATCTTTTCTTGGCTCCTTTTATGTTGATTTGCGATCTTGAGTAAGTTTTGACTTGTTGAATGTCCATCAATTTAAGAACCGTTCATTGAGCATTGTCAGAGGGGGAAACTTTTTGCAGTGCAAAACAAGTGTATTTTTGAGAGTTGTTGGAAACAGTTTTCTTTCCTTTATCTGTTTCCTCACTAAAAGTGGGAACCATAGTGATCAGAACAACTAGAAACTTCAGCCAGTGGTGTTTCAAGCCAGGACTTCTTTTGACTGATGTGAACGTCAGACTTAAGAATAAGACTGTGCAGCAGTGACAAACCTGATGCAGGAGTAAAAAGCCAGGTGATCTAGGATTGAGTTCTGGCTGGCTCACTGACTATGAGATGTTGCACACGGCAGTTTTAGTATGCTTGACCCACTGCTTGCTTCAGGAAACAGATTCTGTTTACATGCAAAGGTCTGCCAACATATTTTAAATATTTTAGATTTGTTTGTAGTTTTTCAGGAGCACAACTATTTCTCTGGAATATGTACTAACTTTGGTATCTCCTTTGAGAAAGAGATGAAAGGTGTGAATTCTGATTGTCTAAACATTACACATTCACAAATCCTGGGGAGCATACACTGATGCACTCTGACCCAAGCAAGACAGCTTTATTTCCTTTCCTCTGATGCCTCTTTCTGCCATGGCAGGCAACAACACTGGGAGTGGAATTAAAAGACCCGGTGTGAATATTGTGTAAGATTAAGACCCACCAGAACTATTATTTAAAATACCAGACCTCTTCTCATCATTACGTTTTCAAGAACGTAAAATACCTAGGATTCCAAAGAAAACCAATTATATGGTACTACAAGTATCAGGATTTTTTCTTTTCATAAAGTGATGATGTAGTATTATGGACCTTTAACTCACTAAAAGAAATTATATTTTCTCCTGCAATTACCATAATTTGAAGTAGTGATAAAGATAGGCAGTATTTTAAGATGTATTACGATGTGAAAAAACAAGGTTTCTGTTGGAGACAATCATAGGTACTCATACTGCTGTGTGTGGCTGCCTCCATTCATAACTCAGGAGATGCTGTCTTTGAATTAGAGGTTAGTGAAAATATGAGCATAATTTTCCAGTTCAAGTTCATGGCCTCCAAGTTAAGAAACCTTGTTATACAGGAGTCTAGGAGGTGGTGGGCAGTATGTCCTAATTTACATTAGTGGTTCTCAGACTGTTTGGCGGGAAGTTCTACCATTAAAGTGACAGACTTCATAATTTAGAGGAATTTAAAGAATTGAAAGTTTTAGACCTTAGCTCCTTTCCATGGATGGTAAGTGCTACCAAAGGACAAGATAACACATCAAATTAGCATTGATGAAAAGACCCTAAAATAGTTATCTTTTTTCATGTGGACACGTTGACTAATGAAACCTGATTGTAAATTTCAAATTTTAGTATTAATATGATTATGATTTTGTATTCTCAAATCGCTCATAGTTGGTTCATGGGACTAAACCTGTAAGATTTTTTGGGGTTGGGATTTGGTACCAGGCATCGAACTCACAAGTTCGTACTTACCAGGCAGGAGCTGAGCTAACCCCCTGGCCAAACCTACAAGGTCTTAAGAGTTTGATTTCCAGGTCTTCCCTTATAAGAACAAGTTTTTAATTTAATTTAATTTAATTGTGTTTTGAGACAGGTTCTTGCTAAAGTGATTCAGGCTGGCCTTGAACTCTCAGTGTTGCTCCTGCCTAAGTCTGCCATGTGCTGGGATTATACGCATTCACCATCACACCTATCGAAAATAAATTTAGGAATTGTTGCAGAATAAAGAAACAGATTCTATTTATTACACTTTGAATAAAAAGCCCTATTATTGGTGTTGTGGTTTATGTTCTTTTTGGGTGCTATAGCAATGGTTTTTGGTATCAGAAGAATGGTTCTCTAAATTTTAGTGTGAGAATCTCAAGGGACTTGCTCAGTCCTGGGCTTCAGTCCTGAAGTTGACAGGCACAAGTGGTCTAGATGGCCTTCTAAGAAATGCACCCCAGAGTTACCTTTGCGTTTCTGAATGTTGGTCCTGCCCTTTCATCCAAGTTCACCCATAGTAAAAGCTATATTGCTAGATGACCTCTGTGAGATAGCCTGGGTTGAGGTTTTTTGTTTTAGTTTTTTTTCTTTTTTCTGAGATGTAGAGCTTGAACCCAGGGCCACATTCATGCTAGCCAACTGCTGTGCTGCTGAGTTACATCCCCAGCCCTGGGCTAAGCTCTGAATCCTCCCATTTCCCAGTTTTGTGTGGCTGTGGGCAAGTTATGCTCTGGGCTTCAGTCTCCTCATCTGTACAAGAAGGGCAGTAGGTACTGAGTTTCCCCGTCTTATAAGGTTGTTATGTAGATGATAAAATTTAATGTGTGTACTGGACTTAGGAACTGTAGTATGGAGTAAGTCATTGAGAAATGTTAACTACTTATTATATGTGCTGCTGAAGCAAGCATGTATATTAGCTATTTAATCATCAGTCTTACCATACTGTAATTGAAATATATATGAGGAGAATTATTTGGATGTTAGGTAAATTTGAATTTTGTATTTTTCAGAGAGGAATCAGAACCTTAAGTCAGACAGGTATGTCAAAGGGCCATTATGTCCACCTCCTATCTTTTAAGGATCTGAGTAGAAAAATTTCTTAGTCTTTTAACCAGTCTAGCAGCTTCTCATAGTCAGACTCCCAGGAGCATAACGTGCTAGCCTAAGCTAATTTTCTCTAGTTCTGTCTCACTTGCACACAGTAGCTCTAACATAAGAATTTGATATTGCTCCTAAGGTGATTGTTTGGTTGTTTATTTTTCACAGTACTGGGGTTTGAACCCAGGATCTTGTGATTGCTAGTCAAGTGCTCCTCAGTTTTAATATCTGCAGTCCTTGGGCAAGTAGATTTCCATTCTTCTGTTGGGAAAAGATGGAAACATTTCTTCCACTTAGGTGCGTGTTAACTAAACTTGCCACTTAAGCTCTGAAGTCTACCATCTGAAAAATATTTATTTTGAAGCTCCTAGTAAGCAATTGTATGTATATTTGATGCTTTTTGAAGTATCTAGGTATGATGACCATAAACCTGCAGTACATGCAAGTGAACATCTTTCTTGTCAGTCTGTTTGCTCCCTCTGAGTTCTGAGTTTCTTTCTTTTTCTTTCTTTCTTTCTTTTTGGACAGGGTCTCAATATGTTTAGGCTGCCTTGAACCTGTGATTCTCCTGTCTCAGCCTCCAAGAGTACTAGAATTATAGACATGTGCCACCACGACCAGCTTCTTTGAGATTTTTAATGCAGTTACTTTAATTACTATGACTGTGATAGTAAGTCATACAACAATGGCTCAAATTCTTAAAATACTGCTTTTCTGGGGCTGGGGATTTAGCTCAGCGGCATAAGCACCTGCCTTGCAAGCAGGCAGTCGTGAGTTCGATCCCTGGTACCGATAAAAACGAAAAAGACCAAAAAAAAAAATCCTGCTTTTCTATGTTAAAATAACAGTTGTAAAAATATGGTACATTAGAAGTTGGGAAGTTGTTCATTTCTTAGTATTTGTGGCAGCCCTGAGGATTCATGTTTGCTTATTAATTGGACATACATATATGTAAGTAATTAAACACATGTACATGATTGTACTTGAAAATCTCCTGTAGCCTTTATAAGATAAAAGAGTCTCGGCAGTGAAGAGAATATTTTAGCACACCGCGGTCAGCAGGGGAATATAGAAAGTAAAAACTCTTATGGTTTTATTCTCATTTTTCTAGACAGCGTGAGGGCTAATTCCTCTAAAAGGCCACTGAATCAGTTGTTTTTTGCCCTAATTCTATTCACACACACTTATTGGAGATGCTCTGATTGGATGGAGAATGAGTCTGTTTAGTGGTAGTCTGGCCTCCCTGAGGTTAGGAGCCAGGAACAAGGATTACAGGGCCAGAATGCATCTCGAAAGGTTGACAGAGCAGTGGTCCAAAGCAGTCATCAGCATTTGGATTGAAGAGAAGACAAATGATAAGGACCAGAAAAGTCCAGTTTAGCTTCTTAAAATACTGCTTTTCTGTTTTCTTTTCTTTTTTTTTTTTTTTGTCTTTTTTGAGACGAGGTTTTGCTATGCAGTTCAGGCTGGCCTTGAGCTCACTCTGTAGCCCAGGCTGGTCTCAAACTCGCAAGGATCCTCCCTCCTCAGCCTCTGGAGTGCTGGGATTACAGGCGTGAGCCACCAGGCCTGGCTCAAATTCTTAAAATACTGCTTTTCTGGGGCTGGGGATTTAGCTCAGTGGCATAAGCACCTGCCTTGCAAGCAGGCAGTCGTGAGTTCGATCCCTGGTACCGATAAAAACGAAAAAGACAAAAAAAAAAAAAAAAAAATCCTGCTTT